CTAAAAGAAGTATTACTCAAAGCCAAAAAATGAAACAAAATGTTATCTCTGTTAACGAAGTTGAAGTTGGTATTAATAACTCTATATCTTTAACTATTAATATAATAAATATATATATATATATCAGATAATTATAAATTTAGTTTCAAAAGAAAATTAAGAACAAGAAGCGAATCTAACCAAAAAAATTGTTAAAAAATGAGATTGAAAAAAAGAGCCTATTGTTGAAGATGATGTATTTATAAATGATAAAGATCAATAAAATGTAGCATCAGCTCTAAAGGCCAATGCTAAACGTAAAGCAGTAGTAGCTCCAATGATCATCTCTAAATATAATTGAAAGAAATATGCAAATAATAACATGACGATAATGACCTTTCAGAGGGTAACTAAATCATCTTTTAATAATATCATTTAAATATTATTTATATTTTTTTTCACTCCTTTACCTTCTAAGATAAAAGTAAGATTAATGAAAATGATATGAATACTAGACGTAAACCTCTTGTATCAATTGCAAATAATAGAATTCACACGTTGAATGAGATGACTGGATCTTTCATGAACTTTTAACATAACACATTAGACAGATTGGATAGTTCAAATAAAACATCTGATTCTTATTCTCATTTGCATTTAAATATTACACATTATCATCCTTCTAATAATCATATCAATAAAATATCTTCTCCTACATCTAATATTATACACAATAATTATATAAGGTTTAATGATGATGCTGATATTTTCGATCAAATATACCAAATATGATTCGTTCAAATACATCTATTCTTACTAATAATAACAATGTTCATTTGACCTTTCAAATATCATATAATACAGAATCAATACTACTGATACCTTTTCATGAAATAGATAATATTAACCAAATCTGTTCATGGCTATGTGCGAACTCTAGTATTTTATTACTTGCTTATAATATATATCTATCAATACAAACACCAATTACAAACACTCTCAACTTTATTTTGTCAAATTTCAATTCATCAATAATAGCAACTAGTGTATCACAAATTTTAAAGCAAGAAGATAAAGTAAAAAGTCAAGATTTTTTAGAGGAATTGAAATATCTTTTTCTACGAATATGAAATCCTATAAAAGAAGTTTTTGAAGATTTGATATGAAAAATCTTTAATTGTGACCTTAATTCGACTAAAGGAACTGAATAGTTACAAGTAGCTAAGAGAAATTTTAATGATTTTTATAACAAATTTCTAGCTACTGTTGAACAAGTAATTAATAGCTTCAAAGAAAAAAGATCACAATAAGTGTTCATTTTGTTTTAATTTTATTATTTTCAGTACAATTGTTATTTCACTAGTTTATTTCTTTTATTTACAGACATAAAACTCACAATTTAGAAAAAAGCGAGGTGATTTTATTTCTCGATAAAACTTTAACATTAGACATATTGCAAAGATGGTTAAATACAATAAACATAACTGAATTAAAAGCTCAATACTCTTAGAATGTTTGTGAAAATTCATTTAAAAAGCATTTATCGTTAATTATGAATATAGAGATATTGAAACAACAAAATCCTTAGATACAATGACAAAAAATATAGCAATTCTATCTCAAAACAGTAAAAATATTGCAAGCAATTTACAATTGTGAAACAGATAATATATTTATTGATTATATCTATAGAATCTTTAACTTTAACTTTAACAACAAATTTTATTTTTATTGCATTTTTTTTATAATAATACATTGCAAAAATATAACAGTATTGTTAACTATAATAACATTTACAACTCTATATAAATTTATAGAATATATACAAAGTAACATTTAGGATATTTGCAGTTTCTTAACATTCAACTCTATCATCTTCTCAAAAAGCGCTAATATAATATTATTCCATTCAATAATGTATTACAAAAATTGAAAATATCACAATGATTTTTATTATATGAGGTCTTTGCAATAGAAAGGAAGAAAACTCAAAAAAAATAAAAAATGAGTTAATAATAAATCTGAACAAATTATAGTATTTAAAATATTTTTGGCTTATAAACTAAAATTTTAATTTTTTTAGAGTTTCCTCCCTTTCTATTACAAAACCCCATATGATGGTCTTTTTATAACAAAGCATTTTTATTATATTTTATTACAATAAATTCATCGACAATAATAATATTATTATTCATAATCTTATATTACAATTTATAATTATCAATTATAATAACAATGATTTTTTATATTATAATGAAAAAATTTTAACAAAAAAAAAAAATAAATTAAAATTAAGGAATCAGTAAATTAATTGTCAAGTAATATCTAATATATTGAAAAAATGACTTGAATTAGTAATTTTGACTAATTTTCAATAACATTTAAGTGAAATTCACTACCTACTTTAATAGTGTATTACAACTTCAACAAGATATTTTTTCAATAAATCCAAGATTATGTCATGAGTTCATCTGATATCATATCATTACATAATTGTTACTAAATCGTTATAATTTATTAATGATCACTTAACTACATAGTAACAAATTTTAATTTCTGCAAAGTTTCCCTTTTAGAATATTTATATAACACTACATAAATTACAAGAAATTATATTTTCATAGTGAGATAATTGTGTTTAAAATCATTGATTATTGATATGCAGCACTAATATTTAAAGTGTAATCAACTGTTGATATAAGTAATAGGTGTTTACTAGTTTAAATAATAATTCAATTATAAATATAATATTTAAATCTAATATTTACCAATTATAAGTTTAATAATTTATAAAAATTATTTAAAATTTTAAAATTTAACAATAAAATTTTATTAATCTAATTATCTTTAAACTATTAAATAAAATTTTTAAAATAAATTATTAAAATAATATTATATTTATATAATTTTAAATTTATATTTAGAGTTTCAGATGAGTCAAGTTAACTCATAAGTCAGATAAGCTATCAAATTTAAATCAAATCAAGTTTTTATTTTTTTGACTCGATAATTTATGAGTCAAATCGAGTTTGAGTCAAGTTAAATATTTAACTTAACTTAATTTAAACTTGACTTGAATTTAACTTAATTCAAGTTAACTTGAAATAGTATTATAAATAAATTAATATTTTTAAAACTATAAAAATTATAATATTATTAATATATAGTATTAATAATAATTTAATATAATAGATTTAAATTTTTTAATATTTATTTTTTTTTCTATTACTTAAACGTTAACAGTTTTTTTGATTAATGTAATTACATAAAGCTAAAAAACATTTATTTTTTAATTTCAATTAATTGAGTAGTAATAATGTTAGATTTTTTAAAAAAAAAATTGTTTTAAAAAATATAATACAAATTTATAGCTTTATTTCACTATAAATTGTATTAAAAAATCAAGAAAAAAAATAAATAAATAGAAAATTCAGCTTTATTTCACTGAAAATTACACTTATTTATAAAAAAGAGTTTATATAAAAGAAATAATCTAGTTCTAAAACTATATAAAGATTATTTCTATACTTTAGACTCTATTCAAATAAATTATAAATTAAAAGTCTTTAAATAAAATTTTTTGAAAAAATTGATTTTACTATTTAGTATATGCTCTTATTAATATTGTAGTAGTCTAAAATACTAAAAAAAAATAATTAGTAATTTCTAACGTCCTATTGAACTAATATTGTAATAGCCTAAAATTCTAAAAAAAATAATTGATCATCTATAAATTAATTATATCTAATATTATATAAATTAGTCTTACTTTTTAAATCAGTTTATTTTAAATTGATTGATTTATTAATCAATTTATTTTTATTTTTTTAATGTTTTATATTATTTTTTTTTACCTTTTCCTTCTGATCTTTTATTTTATTTTTTTTTCATTCTCATTTCTCTTTCTTATTTTTTTCTTTTAATTTTAAAAATTATTTATTTCTCTGATCATTTGTTTTATTATTTTTTCCCCTTCTAATCCTTTTTTTTTTCTCATTTTCATTTTCATTTTTTATTTTTTACTTTCTTTCTTTCTGATTTTTTTTCCCCTTTCTTTTTTTCTAATCTTTTTTTTTTTTATTTTTTTTTTGTTTTTATTTTTTATTTTTTATTTTTATATTTTTTTCATTTTTCCTCCTTTTAATTCTTTTTTTGTTTCTTTTTCTTTTTATTTTTTTATTTTTACTTGTTTTTTTAAATTTTTTTTTCTTTTCTTCCAATCCTTTTTTTTATTTTTTTTTTTGTTTTTTTTTTATTTTATTTTATTTTATTTTTTTATTTTAATTTTAATTTTTTTTTATTTTTTTTTTTTCCTCTCTTCTGATCCTTTTATTTTATTTTTTATTTTTATTTTATTTTTTTATTTTTACTTTAATTTTTTTTCCTTCTCCTTATCCTTTTTATCTCTTCTGATCATTTTATTTGTTTATTATTTTTTCATCCCCCATCTTTTTTTTCTTTTTATTTTTATTTTTATTTTAATTTCCTTTTTCTCTTCTCACCTTCTCATCTCCTAATTTTTTCTTTTTATTTTATTTTTTTTATTTAAATATTTTCGTTTTATTTTTTATTTTTATTTAAATATTTTTGTTTATTTTTTATTTTTATTTTATTTTATTTAAATTTTTTTATATTTTATTTTATTTTATTTTATTTTTGTATTTTAATTTAATTTAATTTATTTTTTTTAAAACTGGTCTTCTTAATCAACTGGTAAATAAATTCTCTTCTTCTTAGAATATATGAACTTTTTTAAGAATATTTATTAACATTTTTTTTTTCTTCTTTTTTAGAATTGACTTTCTTTACATCTTGAAAACCAACTGGTAAGTTGAATTCTTTTTTCTTAGAATAGTTGAGCTTTTCTTGAGAATGTTTACTAACATCTTTACCAATTTTGCAACAATTTAAAATTTTTAAAAAAATTAGTAATCTCTAAATATCTTACCAAATTAATATCGTGATATTTTAAAATTCTAAAATTTTTTAAAATAATTAATTTTAGTTTTATTTTTTTTTATTATTTAATTTAAATAAATAATATATAATCTTACAATATAATATAATTTAAAAATAAATTTTTTTTATATTTAAATATTTATAAGTTAATTTAAATTTATTTGAAATTTGATTTGAATTTGACTCAATTTGAATAAATTTAAGTTAAAATTGAATTAAGTTAAAATCAAATTGAGTCAAATTGAATTGAGTTTAAAATTTATATAATAAATCAAATCAAATTGAAAGATTTTATAAATAAGCTTAACTCAATTCAACTTGAAAAAAAAAGTTGAATAAAGTTGACCTTTAAATTCAACTTGACTTGACTCATTCAGAACTCTATTTATATTTATATAATTT